GTGTCTGCCCCCCCCCCCTTTCGAAATATTTAAAGTGACCCTACCGCAGAGAAAAAAGTCTTGAAGAAACACTGACATACAGTAGAATTATGTAGATTAATAGAGTATAGTTTAGATTTCTTAGCTTTACTATTGTTGCATTATACATAACGGTCAAGTAATATATTAGATGCCTAATCTTCTTTGAACACAAATTTATTTCAGCTCTACTTGTAAGCCCAAACCCCCATCAATTCACAGTCTATGGAAAAAAAAATCTATTACATCAACATTTAATTACACATTTGTATTTTAATTTTTGAAAATAACACTGTATTTAGAGGTTGTGTAATATATCAATGTATAAGTAAACCATTCAATGAATTAAAGTAGGCCACATATCATAGTGATGTCTTTCTATTTTAAATGTGTGTCAGTCCTTACAAGCCGATGATGAAAACTTATGTTAAAGCGAACATAGCAAAGCTAACTGACGCTTTAAATTACATGTCTAAGGCACACACAAAAAATGGATTCTAGATGTAAACTTGTTTTTTTTTTTAACCCATACTATTATCATTATGTTTTTTTTTTTCGTTTTTTTTTCTGTTGAACATTTTTAATATATATATATATATATATATATATATATATATATATATATATATATATATATATATATATATATATATATATATATATATATATATATATATATAAACAACACAAAATACAAGGTCGTCGGATACACAGTGGTAATTGTTTAAAACTAAATTTAAATTTTAAGCTAGGAAAAATAAACAAACTGAAAAAAGATAATATTTTTTTGGCGATTTCAACTGAATGAGAATCTATATATATATACTTCTCTTCTTGGAGACGCTAGAAAACAAGATGTAAGCGCGCTCCGTACCACCCCACCCCTACATGGTCTGGTGAGCTTTGGTTGGCGCTAAATGTTTACAATCGTAGAGCCGGGTTTAGTGACGGTTACTAGGGGCAGATTATTTAGTTTGAAACGATTTTAAACTAAATGGAGGTAACTAAGAGGAGGCTCCTTTCACGGGGTTAGGGGGTGTGGGGTAGGGATTGGGGGAAAGGCGGGTGGGGGTAGTATCGTTCTTGACAACCTACTGATAGTGTTTTAAAGCAAATACTTTCAGTGGCAGCATTGGTACTGTCGAATTCACAAATTATTAATTACTGAAAAGAAGAAAATAAAACAACTAAATAGCGGCATATGATATGCCGCGGGTCGGCTCGTACCTATATATATAATATATAATTAAAAAGTAAAATAACGTTTTAAACTGGACTCAAATTTGATTTTCGGCCTAAACAAAAATGTTAACACTTGCTTTAAATTAAACACAGATAGCCAGTATAATCACTTAAATGTTCTGTACAAAACACATATAAACCGTTCAAATTTAAATGTTCATTAACATAAACACATTCCATCAATTCGGAATCCTGACTCTACTGGCAACTACTTTCCTATAACCCTCTGCTATACAATTGTCCGCTATAACTTTATACTACCTAACGATCTACTAAACTGTAACCTTATAATTAATCGATAATCTTTGATCTAGTTTGATATATTGCTAATCTTGTTTGACTTTGCGTCATTACATATTAAATAGCCATCGGTTCCAGTGCCACGTGTATGTTAGACCTATATATTTTTAAATGTTGTACTTGTTTGAGAAAAAAAAATATATAAAATAGTTATTGGTCAAACGCAATGTGCTTTATTACACGCTGAATGATATTAGTGAAAAAGCAAAGAAATAACTAATTAGCTTAAAATCCGACATATTTAACATAACACAGGCACACACTGATTAAGTGACTTAAATGATTCCGTTAAAAACTCGGCTATTCAATTGTATTCTTCGTGTGTTTAAAGTGATTTATTTTTATTAGGTTTTTTTTATAGATCTATAGATTTAAACGAAATAGTTCATTTCTTCATCGGTAACCATACCATATTAAATGCACTCGCTGATTAAGAGACTTAAAACATTTCGTTAAAAACCCGGCTGTACAAAGGCAGTTATGTTGTTTTTGTCTTTTAAAATAAAAATAAAATAATTATGGGAATAGATTCTAGAGTAGATTATAGTCTAAATCTAGATTTTAGCGTCTACGTCTAGTTTTTCCGTAGATCTAGTCTAGATCTAGAATCTCTAGATCTAGAATCCAAATAGATAAAGTAAATTTTATAAGTTTAGGCCGAGAAAAGTGTATTATATACATTTCATAGCGTGCGTAGATCTAAATCAAATTTGAATGAAGTAGTTCATTTCTTTATATTCTAAAATCGGAAGAAGACGCCATGAGTTTTGTGTAAACATTTGGCGAGTGACGTCATTGTTTTATGCGTTCTTTTTCACAACTATAAACACATTTCCTGTTGCATAATTAAAACTGCTTTTATACATTCGAATATGCCTTTATTTTTTATTTTTCTTCTTTAAATAAAACTGTGGTTATATATTTAAAACATCTACCATATTATTTTCAATAAAAATCCGTATCAAGTTCTTCATATATCGCTGAAGATTCTGATGTGATAGCCGGCGAAAATATTTTGCGGACAGAGAGAGAGAAGTGCGCACATGGTCTTTTATATATTAGGATTGCATATCTGCCTTCCATCATGAAGCTGATTTGTTTTCCCTTTTCTTTTAATACTGCTACATCAAAAACTAACCAACTACATTATTTACACTACCTCTTACATACATTATATATATAAAACAATACAAAATATGACAACCCATTTTGCTGATTAAGCAACATTTGTATCTCTACAAAGGCTTAGATGTCCATGTAGTGTTGTTATGGAATGAACTTAGCTTAAGAGCGATAACTCTTGGGCTGGCTGATTGTAGTTGGCGAATGATGATTGTAATTATGGGTTTCATATGTTTTTATAATATAGCGATGTAAGCAGTAAAATAAGGTGTAGAGCACCGTCCTTTTTATTTACATGTATTATATTTAAATACATTTAGTGTATAATGTATAAAACGTCATGACTAATGTAGCACCGTTACTGGATTGGAGCGACATACTTTGTATAATTTAGAGAGTAAAGCGTATATAACGACAGGGAAAATTTAGATGAGGAAAATGTGTAAATCATCGATAATGTTGTCATATCGTTTAGTCATCATGCAAGTAATACTGTTTAGTTTAGTTATTCGATTCGCCACAAGGACATAGAAAATGTTTTACGCTGGGGAAGTTGGACGGTGGGTGTTCCTATACGTTGTATGTGTTTGCCAACGTAGGTAGCGATTTATGCTGTTTTATTCTAAAATCATTTGCAGAATTCAAGGTAATAACGTCACACCTGATAGTTTGTAATATTTGTATATATATATATATATATATATATATATATATATATATATATATATATATATATATATATATATATATATATATATATATATATATAGCCTATTCTATATAACTTTAGGAAATTGTTTATCTTTTTCGCAGTTATTATATTTGATGTGTCTTTGAACCAATTGTGAAACCAACAGATCCGATTCCTCGAATGAAATTTATGCTGAAATTTTGAACCAAAACATAACTTGCACAGCAGTTCGTTTCTCTGAGACTAGGCATGCTGCCCAGCTTCGCTTAGGCTTTCGAAAACATTAAGAATTTGAATGCTTAATTAATTCGCCAGAGGGTCGGTCTACGACCTCAAGAGTTATGAAGAGGTTCCTCCGTGGACATTTTTTTTCGATTTATAGCTCATATAAGGCGCCGGTCAGTCGAGGTCAGTTTTGACCCCCTCATCGTAGACTTTTCGGCCAACCGGCCCTCGTGTTCTGTCGTCCCAAGGCAAGATCGTGCCAAATTTGAAGCGCCTGCGGCGCCGGGAAGTACCCTATCGGACACCCGACAACTTTGCTTTATGTATTATAGAGATTAGCAAATTGCATAGATAAACAAAGATTTCAATAAAGTAATTAAGGCCTGAAATACTTTAGTATAGAAATGTATTGTTTGAATAGATTCTAGATCTAGGTAGGGTCTACATCTGTGTAAGTCTAGTTTCTCCGTAGATCTAGATCATCTAGATCTAGAATCGTAATAGAATTTTTGTTTAAGTTTAGCCCGAGCAAAAAAAAAAAAATAGATTAACCAAGTTGACTTGGTGCGTCTCAAACCCGCGCCACCTGCGTGGGTTTAAGTACACTATCATCTCCGCTATATAGGCACCTTATAAAACACGGAGAATAAAAGACGTATTTTAAAATCTTAACTTACGCGAATATGCCTATTATTTCAAATTAATTTTTTTTATCCCAAATTAGCCAGTTCCAAACAAAGATTTTGTATAAAATAATTATGTCTTGAAATAGTTTAGTCCTAATATAGAAATTTATTTTTGGAATAGATTGTAGAGAAGTTAGAGTCTAAATCTAGACCTTAGCGTCTACGTCTCGATATAGTTATTGCGTAGATTTGTAGATTTAGATCTAGTCTAGATCTAGAATCTCTAGATCTAGAATCCAAATAAATAAAATAAATTTTATGAGTTTAGGCCGGAAAAATTGTATTGTGTACATTTCATAGTGTACGTAGATCTAAATCAAATTTGAATGAAATAGTTCATTTCTTTTTATTCTAAACACGGCAGATTACTTTTTTTTTTTTTTTTTTTTTTTTTTTTTTTTTTTTTTCCGTCTGGCGTTTAATAGAATTCCTACCATTGTATGGATAGGTTTGCATGTTTAAAATAAATTATAATGTAATACATAGTATAACATTAATGCAAAATATACCAGTTCAATTGTGACTAATACAAAACGTTTAACAAAGATAGCATAGCAGTGTCTTTTTACTTTCTCAATTTTTTTTCCCAGGGGCTTTTTGGTCCTTTACGTAGTATTGCTTTTTGTTCCTCATTCATGATGTCTATGAGGTGCTCTAACATGTGGTGAGGAGAGTTGTGTGTTAGGAGGATTTCACCACAGTACGCACATTTGACGTCATCTCCTTTTTTTTTCTTTAGTTGTTTTCCCTAGTTCAGTGGGGCTGGTTGAGCTTTTCCTTTTCATTGGCGAGCTGGTTTCCATTTCTGATGCTAGGTTTGTTGCCTCCATTGTTGGAGGTTCTTGTAGGTTGCTTGGTGTCGGGGGTTGTGGTACAGGTGTTGCTTTATCCTGTGCTGTAGGTTGATCATTGGGCTTTGTCTCTGTGTTTTTTTTTGTTAGAGCTGCTTGTTGACTGCTTGGTGTTGTAGCTGGTTGGGCGAGTAGCGCTGGTTCTTGTGTTGAGGGTTGGTTTTTGGGCGTAGTTTTTGATGTCGAAGAAACTATTTCTTGCTGTTCCGCAGGCGTGGCTGGTTCTTGTGATGCTGTTGGTTGTATTCTGTGACTTGGGCAGTGATTGGTCCAGTGGAGGGTTGAGGAGCATAGTTGGCAGGCTTGTCTTCTTCCGTTTATGGCGACTAAGATGTTGAGTGTTTTGTTTTTGTAGTTTATTTGGATGTAGTGAGGGATGTTTGTTGAGTTATCAGTGTTTATGGAGAAGCTGCGGTTGTTGGTGTAAGGGATTGTAGTGATGAGTGGTGTTTTATTGCTGTAGGGCTGTAATGCTTGTATGAGTGTAGGGTCGCTGAGTGTGGGGGGGGGGGGGGGGGGACCCATCTAAGGGTTCCGTTTATTTTGTCTTTTTCGTGTGGTGTGAAGTGTAGTGTGTAGGGGCCGTGTATTTTATAGGTGTTGTGAAGTGTGGTGACGTCAAAGGTGGTTGAAGAGAAATACCACGTATCTGCTCTCCCATAATTGAGGAGCAGTATTTGTTCGTCAAGTTTGTGCATATATATTGGGAGGGGGGGAGGGGGGGGGGGGAAGGGTCATCCATTTGTTATGACCAAAAAAAGTTCGTATATTTAGATCCCCTACACAAGCGTCCACTTTCGCCGAACGAACCCCCCCCCCCCCCACCACCGCCGAGCGACCCCCCCCCCCACCATCCCCATTGTGATAGACCACACAATTTTAGTAGACATCTCAATACAAGCTGCAAAACTACTAATTCATGTATATGAAATGTGTACATTAACTAATAATGTGATCCAGGGATTTGATATTTACGTTAACATCTATTACTAGGCCTAAATAATAATTGGGAGTTAAACTTTTCCAAGCTGTCTGTAACTCTACGGCGTGTTAACTTACCGTACTATTGTGCTAAGGCTATCTAAAATACTTAATTGAAAGAGTAATATTTTATGGACGCTGTGTACTCTGCCTCCCGATTTCAAGGGCTTTTTAACCCACTATTTCTTATAAATAGTCAGAGGCAGACATGTATGTTTTTTTTTTTTTTTTTTTTTTTTTTAAATTGAAGATGCTGTGGACCGAACTTTTTACTGTCATTTGTGGCTGTCTAGCTATCAACGACTATATGGGTTCGGGTAAATTCGGCTAATCAACGTGACGTCATTATATTATTTTTACTCAACTTGACGCTGCACGTGTTTCCATAACAAACCGCCTCTACCGCTTTTTTTGTGGTCGCGCTGACCGTTAGTCCTACACACCTGACCAAGCAAGCACATTATACACGCGCTTATATTTAATAGCTAATTGTAGTTATGATATGATTTTTTTTTACTTGAAAAAAAAATGACTAGATTTACATAATCTGAGACTTAGACACAAAATAATAATGTAGCTCTACTATGATTTAGTTAAAATTGTTTGAAATTGTTTTATTCTAATATCACTAGTTTAATCATAGGTAATAACGTAATACCTGGTAGCCTGCTGAATTGTACATTGGGTGAGAGAAATGTTTTTCCTATAAATCTGCCTGGCTAATGAACATTGATTGAGACCGTATTGAGCGTAAAAGTGAGTGAATAAAAGCCATCTGAGAGTAAATTACTGTGTATTTTCCTGCGTAAACCAAGACAGTGTTTGCAGCTGTCTACTAGAAATGATCTACTTTTAGCATAATGTTCTAAGTTGTGAAGTTTCTATTATTTAAAATCTGTTATAAAATACTGGTATGCCAATAATTGTTGGGGTTGTTACTGTACAAGATATACTACATCTCAATGTTATCAATAAAAGGCCAGATTTTAAGATTAACTAAATATACTTTTTGTATTCAATGCTATTTCAGGCAGCTACGGTTGAAAATTTGATGATTAATCAACGATACATAGTGGAGTATTTGATTTTTGCAACAGCATTAAAGCGTTTGGCTAGAAATTCGCCTTCATAAAACTGAATGCAAGGGAGTTAATTTATAAATGAATTAGCAAAATAAATGAACATACATTTCAAAGCCATTAGTTAATAGCCATTTAATTAAAGTAAGATAATGTATCTAAAAAGTTTAAAAGAAATAAAATGTCATTTTCAGTTGACTCAATTTTTGTGTGTGTGTTCTCAAAACAAATTTTAAATTACAGTTGTATTTTATCCTAAAGACAGTAGCAAAGCGTAACAATATGTGTTTTATCAACGATCGTTGGCCAAATATTTGGAGCAAAATTCATCAAATAAATATAATTTTGGATCCCTCCTGTTAGGGACAAGAATAAATAAATAATACAAGCTAAGTGATGCCTCTACAAACGAGCACCCAATCAAAAGCATCCTTGTGTTATAAACCTTGATACGAGTGATGTTTTGCTTCCATATGCCAGCACAATTTGTGATGTGAGGATCCAGATCGAGTAGGATTATGGAGATGCATTTGGTATATGTCCAGGGCCGGCGCTACCTCCATATGGGGAGGGGGTGGGCACAAAATTTGTAATCGCCATAATAAATTAAGAACTTCCGAGACCCTAACATGCCGGATTATCGTTTTAATACTCAGTGAGAACATTTGTTTGAGACATGAAAAGTGGTTTTATATTTTTGCTAGATGTATGTAAAAGACAAAAGTTTTATTAACCTAAAACTCAAATGAAAAGAAAAAAGAAAATTAAAAAATATATTAGGGTTTACCTTTATTATTTCTGATTGATTAATGTCCTCAATGTTTATGTTTCTATAATTGTAAAATACTAATACATGTTTTTTTTTTTTTTTTTTTTTTTTTTTTTTTAACTTGTCAATTTTTTTCAAATACATTTTTTAAAATTGCTTAATATCACCTAGAATCGGAAAACTTCAGTTTTGACAACTAGTCTGTCTGTTTGTCTGTCACTATAACCCTAGGAATGACATGTGTATGACTTTATGGCAGCTTGCTAGTGACATATGTATTTCAAAATTTCGCTACTCCGATATACTCGAGAAAGAAATATTTTACTTTTTATTTCAGTTATCAGATCTTTCCAAATGTCTTTAGGACAAATCGTATGTTATAATTATGTATGTTAATTTTGTGTCTCAGTTGCCCACGAAACTATAAATAAAACTAAATATTCATGCAAGCCACTTTTCTACTGACTGTGTCCAGATGAGCGAGTGATGAACACAGTGGTTTTGAGTTGAATATCCGAGCTTAATTGTGTATTTCGCTTTTTGTTCTCACCAGGCTTATCTTCCACCCCAATGAATGCAGGGTCAGCTCGTACCCCAGCGTCCAGTACCTGGCTCAACAGTAGGAAGCTAATAACTAAAAAAAAAGAACTACGTCACTGAGGTCAAATTGATGATTACTGACAGATAACGACATGCATTCTAAATACAATAACATTGCCCAAAAGTCGACACTTCTGCAGTGGCAAGCATGGAATTGTTATCACGGGGCTGGCTACAGCTACAGCACGGCTGTAGGGCTGGGCTTGGCGCCTAAGCGGCTGCAGTGTTTCTTCCAGACTTTTTTCTAAAGGGGGGGGGAGGAACTTCACATGTTTGGGGTGGAAGCGCAGTATTTCTTCCAGATTTTTTTCTACGAAGGGGGGGGGAGGCACTTCAAGTTTTCGGGGCGGGGGGCAGACTACAATTTCCGGTGTATCTTATTTTCTATGTGTCCTGTAGGGATATCAGGAAGAAACTCTGAGCGGCTGTCTGCTGTCCGTATACTCTCTACTCCACCTATGCTCACTGTTCTCTGACGAGTGTTTTTATCATGTTTAAAGTTGAGTTTTTTACAGTATAATATTTGTTGCGAATTTTGAAAATTAAATAATATAACTATTAATATTCCGGTATCAACCCTACCAGTATAGCGACAGTTATATTTGCATCCAATAAAAAACTTTGAATTTTTACTTAGCATGGTAAACAAAATATGCTTCTAGTTAATCTTAAAATCTGACCTGATGTCGATAACATCTATAGCCTGCTACATTTAGACTCGACTTAATATCGACAACATGAACATGTGTTACACATGAATAACGCGCTACGCTTGTATCAGTCTTGTATGTATAATGTATCATAAAGTATTTACAGCAACATTAAAACACAATAATAATTACCATACCGATATGTATTCTAGAATCAAAACTTGACTACCTAATATATAAAAGACAAAAGATGGGCCCTTTTTCTCTGACATGATAAGATATAACCTAACGGACATCCACATCATAGCTGTACATAATGGAACCAAAGGCTGTATGTTTAAAGCTTCATCAGGCGATGTTGGCTGAAGTTTAATATAGAAACATAAGACCTTCGAAATGTTAAAATGGTGTGTTGAAAAGGGAAATATAAATCGTAATTAAGTTGTCTAAATAATAATCTTCAGAGAGGCTTATTTTATAACTCTACTGTAGCCTCATGTATTCATAGTGTAGTACAATTGTTAGGCACAGGGTACAGATACATTCAGTCTAACGCAGGGGTCGGCAACCTTTTGAGACTGTAGAGCAAAAAGTTACAATTTACAACATTTCCCGGTTTTAAAGAGCAACTAACGTTTTTTTCCCCAAAATTTTGATATTTAATAAGGATTGGGAAAATACTTTATTAAGTATTCTGTCCTTCGCTTCTCTCAGGTCTTATATTCCACCCTACTCGTACCCCACAATCAAGTACCTGCAGTACCGGCGCCAGGTTATTTAGCGCCCTAGGCAAAACTAATGAAAACGCCCCCCCCCCCCCACAGCACATTTTTTTTGACCCCTCACATTATATATAATAGTGCAAATCGAAAGTTTGAAAGGGGGGGGGTGCAAATCGAACGTTTGAGGGGGAGGGGGGTGCTAATCGAAAATTTTAAAGTATGTCCCCGGGAAGGGGTGATACAATTAAGTGCCGAAACGGGTGACACCCGACCCCGCTACACCAATGTATATATTTATAAATAAATAAATAAATGAATAAAAAAATAAATAAATATATATATATATATATATATATATATATATATATATATATATATATATATAACACATTACCCTGTCTAAAGTTTATATAATGTAATCAAAAATATTAATTATTATGTACCTTTTACTCATCGAGATTACACATTTAGTTCGCCTTATAGGTAGCGCCGGCCCTGAGTACCTGGCTGAACCATAGGAAGCTATTAACTAAAATACTACGTCACTGACAAGTAGAAGAATGCATTCTGTATAAAATAACATAACATTTCAATAAAATAACATTTCGTATTTATCGATATTTGAAAAAGTCGGCATTTTGGCAGTGGTAAGCAAGGAATTGTTGCCACGGGTCTGGCCACAACACGGATGTGGGGCTAGGCCTTGTGCCCAAGCAACTGCAAGCTGTCCGTATACTTTCTACTGCACCTATTCCTTAGGCTTTCACATATTTATAACCATGGATCCAAGAGTCTAAGTTGAAAGTCTTCTACCAGTTTATTCTGAGCTACTCCTTTTGGCTCAAAAGATAGTGAGTTGT